AATTATTAAACCTTCAACATTACCATGGAGATCACAAGTCATTGTAACAAACAAGAGATCAAAAAAGTGCCTAGTCATTAACTATAGTCAAACTATCAATTGTTTTACATGTCTTGATGCCTACCCTCTACCACAAGTAGTTGAACTTGTAAACAATGTTTTCCAGTATCAATACTTGAGCACAAAAAATGTGAAAAAATCAAGATTATTACTAATGAAACTCCTCATGAAGGACTCTTTACCTATCAAAGATGTTCTTCTAATGGACATTCAATCCAATTATGGCTTACACAACCTGGCAAGGTGTTATTAAAGAGACATGTTAAAAAAACAAATTTGATATAGATGAGGTATTCCTAATGGAAGCAAATTCACAATATGCGTTTATTTAACATGTCAACGGCCGTGATTCTATGGTTTCTATTTGTCACCTTGCACCACTAACTTAAGACGCACATACAGTTAACTTACAGTTAAACATGGTATCTAAGCTCATCAGAACAATCTACTGCACACCTGTTACAAAAACCAGATAAGACTGCACACTAGTTACAAAAACCAGATGAGACTGTGTCATTAGATCTTCCTACACATCCAGTGAGTCTTGCCCTGCCATGTTCTATAAGGTTGAAAATGATATTTACTAAGACAATCAACTCGAAAGCGCACGACTCCAAATCAGTTGGATCTTTGAACAAAAAACTATTTAAAACTTAAAAATGTCAGGGAGAAATTGATCATTATTATTATTGTTTTGTAATATTTTTTATTGTTTTAGGTAATAAAAAGTTAAAAAGAAATTATTCAGTTATTGTCATTTATCCTTCGAGTCCACAACAAGCTAAAACAATCTTTTAAATAATTTTACGCAGAATAATAACTACTTCATTTAATTTAAGTAGCCAGTTTATGTAGGTTAAATATTTAGCCTAAAATATTCAACTGAAAACAACAGGTTTAATACAATGATTTTTTGCGTCCATAAGTAACACAGCATATAATCAACTATAATTCCTATGGTTATAATAATTGAACAAAAATTTCAATATACAGGAAAACAAATAAATGATTTTAGGATGATTCATACATTACATATATATATATATATATATATATATATATATATATATATAATATATATATATATATATATATATATATATATATATATATATATATATATATATATATATATATATATATATATTTATATATAAATATATATATATATGTGCTACTGTTATTATATCCATATCAATACTAATTAACATATTTAAAAACAAACACATTTGGAAAACATCAATCTGAAATACTTTTTTTGTAACTTGTATAAGTTGTTCCAAGGGAGTTAAAATATTATGGGGAGTTAATTTGTTTTTCCGACAGGGGTTAATTTGTTTCAAGGGGAGTTAATCTATTTCAAAATAGATTAACTCGAAATAGATAACTTTTTTACGCTACAGGAGTTAATTTATTATGGGGGTTAATTTATTTCATGATACCGGAACTGAAATCTTAAATAATACCAAAACAGAAACCAAAAACTTTGGTCAGAGTTGTAGCCAAAATCAAACCAAATTTCAGTCGATCATTATCAAAATCCAACCTTTTTTTTGAAGTGCAATCCAAATGTAGTAGTAATTGTGTCTTTGTTCTTGTCGGTATAAATAACAGTAGTTCTTAATTTCACAATAAAAATATAATGAACATGTGCAGAAATAAAGAAGTTGTATACTTTTAAAGACTTATATGCTCTTATATTCTCTGGTTTAAGGGCTGGGTGTACTTGGCAAAATAAGATATATAGCTTTATATTGTCAAGTGATATATTAGGATCCATTGTCATGTTGTTTTCCCATTCATCTATAGAAAATGGATCTGGCATAATCTATCCATTTCCCTGTGTAAATTTTTCTTTGTGTTTTACTTGACCTTTGTTATTAAGAGTTCGAAAACTTTTTATTTAACTCCAACTTTTTATTTTACTCTTCTTTTAAAGTTATTTACATAATATATAATACAATTATTGTAATACATAAAAATTTTAAATTAAACATCTTATAAAGTTAAAAGATAATTATAGCTATATATCATTAGAAAAAAAGTTATGCTTTTGCTGTTATATATATCAATGTTTGTTTTTATACTAATAAAACTGCATTGTACTGGGCAAGAAAAACAAAATGCGACGACACGCAACTCATATATACAGAGGTGTCCGCTTGTGGTCTTTGATGCAATAAAGTTGCTCAAATAGGCAACTTTATTTGGCCTTTTTTTATCAGCAATTTTGGTCAATTTTTTAATAGCAGTTCTAGTTTTTTTCTAGTTTAATTCTATAAAAAGAAAAGTAAAAAAAAAACTAAAATAATAACAAAACTATATTTTAAAAGTCATAATAGCAAAGTTTGTTTTCCACATCTTCTTTAATAAATTTGAACATAAGAAAATGCAAGAACATTTAAATGTATTTAATAAAATAATTCCTAAATAAAAAATAAAATGTTAAATTGTTTAAACAAAAATACTGTTTTATTTTTTAACAAATTTTTTATAAGAGATTAAATAATAGAAATAAATTTGTCAAAAAAAATACTTTGAAAGGCCTTGTTAAAAAGCGTTACAGAGTTCTAATTTTACACACAAAAGTAATTACGTCAAGCAAAAAAAAGTTTTATTTGGGAATATTTAAAGTATCTTTTAAGATTGTTTATGTGATGTTTATTCAGAGAATATTAGGTTATAAAAAAAAGCACTTAATTGTGAATTTTTTTAAAAACAAATTGTTTTATAAAAAAAAAAAATTTAATGTTTTTAAAAACTTAAATTTTGTTTTGAAGGAATGTAAAACAGAGAAACTTTGAATTTAAGTTTAGTTTCAAAGGAATGTAATATAGTTTAGTAATTTTTATTAAAGAAGTTTTTTTCTTATAATCTGCTAACTAACTTATTATGTAAAGCATAATAAGTTAGTTAACAGTCTCTCCATCATAGTCTCTCCATCATAGATTACATAGATTAAAATATGCGAAAGCAATTCAAAACATTTTTTATTCAAGTATTATATTCACAAATGTATTTAAAATATTTTGTTTCTTATCAATTCAATATTATGTAAAATTCATTTGACATAATACTTTTATGAACATAAATTACGTTTACAAATATCTTAATGGTCCCTTGTTAATGTTGTTGTACCCTTTTTAACATTGTTAACAAGGGTAGGTCTAACATTCCATCTCTCATTCATGGGACTGATCTTATTACCTCACCCAAGAATACCTTGGCAGAACTATTTGCAAAGAATTTTCTTTTGCATTTTAAATGTAAATTATACAGGTTAACCCATTATGAATCACATTTTCCTTGCTAAAGTTATATCGTGAATAAATTCTTATTTTCTTCGAGTCTTTGATCAACAAAATTCTCACATCCCATCTTAAGTCAAATAACTTACTGTCAGACAATCAATATGATTTTTGATCTTCTTGCACATGGTTGACTTGCTAACTGTTGTGACTGAACAATTTTATTGTGCATTAAATGGAGGCGGGGAAGCTGGAACTATTGCTCTTGACATAAGCTTGTTTCATTTGGTGTATATGAAGTTTTTAAGATTATCAAATTGTTTCTTTCTAACTGCCTTATTAAAGTCATCTTTGAAAACCAACACTTTTCTATATTTCCAGTCCTGTTTTTTTTTCTTATTTCCATTAATAATCTTCCCAACAACCTTTACATCTAAGTAGCTCTTTTTGCTGATGACTTTATATTTCTGTCTTGACAAAAAGTCTTCTCTTTTCAATTGCTTAGAACAAGCAGCCAACCATGGATCTAATCTCATTTCTGTAACAAATTGGGGCTCACAGTGTCTTAAAAATTTTAACTTCAACAAAACTCAGTTATTTACTTTAAACAACTATTGCAGTATTGTGGACATTCCTATATTAATGAATGGCAACTCTCACACTGAGTCCTTTTCTTTATGTCTTCTCTGATGATCATTTACTGCAGACCTTTCATGGAGACCATAAATACAGTCAATTGTTAAATTAGTATCTGCCAAGGTTGCTTCTCTCTTTTCTCTTTCCTTATTCAATTCTCTACCTTTACAAATCTCTTATTCGTCCCTGTATGGAATACTGTCGTTGTATTTGGGCTGGTTCTTTTAATGATGCTCCTTCTCTTCTAAACAAGGTCCAAAAACATATTGTAAATGTAGTTGGACTCGCTCTATTTGCTAAGCTTGAGCTTCTTTCCCATTGACATAAAGTTGCATCTCTTTATCTTTTCTACAAGTCATGGTCATGTCAAGTTCATGGTTGCTGCACAATGGAGCTATCATCTCTAGATCCATTAACTAAAACTCATTCTCGCTTGACTCATCATTAAGCAAAGTCTCATTCTTTGACTGTATCTGTCCCTGCATGCTCTAAAAACTTTCATTTGTTTAGTTTTTTTCCCCGCACTTCAATCCTTGGGAACTCTCTTTCATCTTCATGTTTTCCCGACTCATACAACCTTCAACTTATTTCAACCGTTTCTTTGCTCTATAATTCTATTCTCTTTTTCTAGTAACTCCCAACTTAATAGTGGTTGCTTGCAGCCTTGTTGGGAATAAAAAAAATGGTACATGACAAAGTCTATAAATTGTGTATAAATCTTTATTGAAAAAACTACTAAAATATCATTTTTATTTTTTTAACTTTTATATAATCTTATATAAGTTTTATGAGAAATCTATGAGGCATTTCTCATATTATATTTTATATATGTTCATATAATTTAAATATTATGTCTTATATATGCTTTTCTCATATTTAATGAGTTAAAAAAAAAAACAATTCCTACTGAAGGAAAAATAGCATTACAATTTTAAAAATATTTAAAATTGTATAATTGTAATAATTATTGTATTAGATTTTAGTAAAAGTATTTACTTGTTTTAGTTTTATTTTATCAAAAGTTTTAAAACTAATATCTTTGTTTAAATTTTATAGTGTCTGTACAGCAATGGTGGACATTTGTTTGCTGCAGTTCATGGAAATGTTATTCAATTATATTCATCACTAACATTTGAAAATGTAGGAAATTTTAAAGGACACAGTGGAAAGGTGAATTTTTTTTTGCTACTGTTGTTTTATTTATTTTTAATAAATGCAAACAGTGATACATTTTGCAAACAGTGATACCTTTTGCAATTGAAAACGGTCATAGTTTTTAATTATATTATTTTAATTATTTTTTGTACTTATTTCATATTTTACTGATGTCATATTACTATTTTAAAAATGTCATATTATATTGATTGTCATATCTCATGTTATATTATGCCATATTATATTGATTATGGATTATTGTTATATTGAATAATTATGACACTTAAATGCTTGAGAATCAAGGTACCAGAAAAAATATAATAGCATAGTTAATAAGCAAGGAATTTTTATTAGATGCTCTACTTCATTTGTATTTCTTTGATGAGGCTAGATTTATTTTTAGGATATTTCATATATATTATAACAAAAAACATTATTATTATTAACATAAAAGTATTACACAAAATAGTTACAAAAAATTTAAAATAACATTAAAAGGAAATTAAAAAATAGATTGAATGAGCTTTAAAAATGTTCTGCAACACTAATAATAAGGGAATTTGTTAGTTTTTATATTTTTATGATGACTTTATGTCATATAATTAACTAAAATTGCCATTGGTTTTCCTCCAATAACAAATTTTATAAATATTTATTTTTAATTTTATAAATATTTATCTTTAATTTTATAAATATTTATCTTTAATTTTATAAATATTTATCTTTAATTTTATAAATATTTATCGTTAATTTTATAAATATTTATCTTTAATTTTATAAATATTTATCTTTAATTTTATAAATATTTATCTTTAATTTTATAAATATTTATCTTTAATTTTATAAATATTTATCTTTAATTAGAAGATGTATCTTTCTTAACTTGAAGTAAAAATTTTATTCAGTTTTGAACAAAAAAATAAATGACAAAATTTAATTTTGAAATAAAAACATTATTTTGATATTTTATAAGAAAATCTCAACAAATAACCTCCGGCAATATGAAAATAAAGTATTTAGCTTTTTAATAATCATGTTTGCTATTTTTATGTTATTGCAAGTTTTCTTTTTTTTTGTTGTTGTTCTCTAATGTTTCTTAGTAATCACAAAATGTAAGGTTTTATAGTCTGTAGCATCTGGCATATTATCAGATTTTCGGCTTCTATATTAAATTTTTGTGTAGTAGCTTTATTTTGATGCCAAAAATTGGTCTTACAAATAAAAAATGTTGACTTAAAAAATTGAAATAAAACTTTATTAATCAGCAATCTATCAATTTCTTCTTATTAGTTTTTATTGTTTAATAGAAAATATTGTTTAACTCTACTGGTTATCTTCCATTAAACAAAGTCTAGGTTAAAAATATTGTAAACAGTTGTTGATATTACTTAACAATAGGTTTATCATAAGTTGTTTTTGATTCATTACTTTATAAGCAATTGTTGAAATTAAAATGTTCCTTGCTGCAACAGAGTCTTGAATGTGCAAAAATAATAAATAAATAAGCTTAAAGACAGATAAATAAATAGGTAGATAATGACAATCAAGTTTTTTAACTATGTCATACTCATAGTAGTAGTTAGTTTATTTCTTTCACTATAGATACACTGCTTACGCTGGAGTTTAGATGATAGTAAATTAGTATCTTGTGGAACAGATGGAGCAATCTATGAATGGAATACGTTACTCTTTAAAAGAGAAGGTGAAAATGTTTTAAAATCTTGCAGTTATACATGTCTGGCGATGTCACCTGATTCTCGTACAGTTTATGCTGTTGGGTCTGATCACACGATAAAGGAAATCTGTGATGGACAGGTTTTATATTTAACTTTTATCTATTTTTAATTCATGTTTTAGTTATTAAAAAAATTTAATAATTTTATCTTTCTTTTTTTTTTAAATTTGTAGTTGATTTAATACTAAAAAAGTAGTTTTACTGTTCTGTTTTTGCTAAGTTAGCTGTTTCAATTTTGATTTTGTTTAAACTTAAGATGCTACGAGATGTGCCAGCAGGTAAAGAACTTCTATCACAAGTAGTATTATCTCATTCTGGAAAGATGTTATTTGCAGGCACTGTTAGTGGTGTTATTCGTTCATTTAAGTTTCCTTTAACATTACCTGGTCAATGGCAAGATAATGAAGTTCATGCAGGAACTATATCAAAAGTATTTATTTTTTACTTTGTTGTTTTACTATTGTTACTTCAGTTATCATGTAAAACCTCTTGAACTTAAATATTTTTCTGGTTACACACTTTTATACTAATTATGGTTATATACTTTGTTGACTTATGTGCTTAGTTTTTCCAATTTTAGGTTAATAAATTCCAATCAATAATTTATAACTCTATCATTAGACCATAATAAAAATTGCCATAACAATCAAAGTATGCTAATTGTATGACAAAGTTGCTTATTGCATATCCTTTTTTCTATTATTACCATATTATAATTTTTTTGACATTGTTTCATTTCAAATATGATAAATATGGCATATGTAAATATTTAATGTAATAAATATTGTAAAAGTTATTTATTATTTAAAGTTTGAAAATAAATGTATAAATATGGTTTTCATGTTTTCACAAAAATTGTTGTATTTTTATTCCAACTTTTATTCTTTTATATAAATAATTGCATAAAACATATTTTGGAAAGGTAAGGTAATAATATTTTTATTTTAAAGAAAATTAGGGTTCTTCTTGCCATGACCTTCTAAATATTTGGATGCTACATTTTAGGGACTGTTTCTAATAGGTTTAATTATGCAATAAAATAAAAAACAATTGGATTTTTGTTATTTCAGTAAAATGATTATTTATATCAGATTAATTATTATAATCATAGTAAGAAGTTGTTTAAAAATCTACTTGTCTAGTAAAAAAAAAAAAGAACTTGTTAAAAAAAAAATTTGCTAAAAAAAAAACTTGCTAAAAAAAAGTTTGCTAAAAAAAAATTTGCTAAAAAAAAATTGCTAAAAAAAAAAATTTGCTAAAAAAAAATTTTTCAAAAAAAAAAATTTGCTAAAAAAATTTGCTAAAAGATTCTTTTTTAATATTTCATTTTATTGAATTATTTCTAATTATAAAGTTTTCTTTACTAAAATTTTTCCATAGCAATCATATTTAAGTCAGTAAAGACAAAGCAACAAACAAAACCAATAATTAATAATACCAAGTAATTTAACAACAGTTAGTATTTATTAATTTAATTATTTTGGAAGTCATGTCATCATGCAATGTTACAAGTAACCATAATAGTGTATGTATTTTGGAAGTCATGTCATCATGCAATGTTACAAGTAACCATAATACTGTATGTATTTTGGAAGTCGTGTCATCATGCAATGTTACAAGTAACCGTAATAGCGTAATAGCGTAATAAATGATTTGCAGTAAATTTAGATCCTGAGCACAACAATTAGTATTACCAACTGGAATAACCTAAAAACAATGAAAAATAAGAGATAAACCAATTTAAAGCATATATTAATATCTTCGATATTTATTTGGTATGCATAAATATACTTGGCCTTTGTTATGAGGTTTTGTTGCTCAATGCTTTATGTCATATAATACTCATATTTCCACTAACATTCCAATTAACATATTAATGCATTGGTACTGAAAAAAAGTGTATCTTTGAGAAACAATCTGAACAGATGAAATCTTGAATAAAATTTGAGAACAGATGAAATCTTGAATAAAATTTTGTAGTCTTAAAATTAGTTCACTGTTAATTAATTGTTTTTATGAAAATTATTTTTTGTTCTTAGAGTTGATTAAAATATTCTGTTTTTTATTCTTGGAGTTGATACAGTTGTTTGACTTCAAGTTATTATCTGCAAAGTATCAGTTTTATGGCACATGAAACTGACACTTTGCAGATAATAACTTACCATACTGCTCTCCAAGTTGGAGAGCACTATGGTAACTAAGCAAACAAAATGAGTTTTTATTATAAATTTATTTTATTTTGTTTATATTTTTAAAAATCCTTTTTTATAAAAGCTCATTTAATTTACAGATGAAGGTATCATATGATGATCAATACCTGTTTACAGTTAGTGAGGATGCGTGTTTATTTATCCATAAAATTGTTGACAAAGATGGTGCTGGTAAACGTGAAAGTGATGTTCCCTTTGCTGAAGAAGTTCTTATTACCAGGTATATTTTTAATTTGAGTAAGAAAGTTCAAAATGTTTAAAATATATTTCAAAAACATAAATACAATTGATAAATTAAACACTCCTTTAATATTTAAACACATAATATCTCATAAACTTTAAACATTTTAAATTATTACAGTTCATAGAGACAGTCCAAAAAAAAAGAATAAGAGAAAAGAATAACACAATCCAAAAAGAATGACCATAAGAGAAACAAGGCGTTACAATGATTTCATTCAATATTTTTTTCAAAAATTCAAAGTTTTCAAAAACATAAGAATCTGAATATTTTATATATTTTGTTAGTCATTTATTGTTTTATTTTTTAGTTATTAATTATTTTTAAATAGTGGTATATAATTTTTTATACAGTTATATTATTTGTTTTTATTTTCATTTTAGCTATTTATCATATATGTTTTATTCTACCATGTAATATTATATATTTTTCTTCTTTATTTGTTGTTGTTTTTAGTTTTTATTTTTTGATGTTGTTTTTTTATTGTTTTTTTTTTTGTTGCCAAAAATATTTAACGTAATTTTTTGTTTTGTTCTTAAAGTTTGTTGTATCTTTTGTTTTGTTTTGATTTTTTAAGTGTTTTTCTGTTTACATTTTATTTAATTAGTTTCTGTTTACATTTTTTTTTATTTATTATTTGCAATATATTTTAGTTATGATCAGTGCCGGATCATGGGGGGGCAAATTTAGGGGCCCCAAAAAATTTTAGAGGACCTTTTTTTTTTTTTTTTAGTCTTTTTTAGGCTCTGGCCAATAAAAAGGCCTCCAAAAACAAAAATAGCCCCGGGCCCCAAAAAGTCTTAATCCGCCACTGATTATGATATTATAAGAGTTATGATTAATATATTTACTAAATCTTTATAATTTTTATAGCAGTAGTTGTTTTTATGTCATCGTTAGTTGTTACGTTTTGTCAGTTTATTACTGTTTGTAACTGTAACTTTGTATGTATAAGCGATTGTTGTATAGAACGTTATACCGATTTATTTAAATTGCTATATTGTTTATATTAATTACTAATTATTAATATTACTATTTTTAAAGTAGCATGTTATTATTATTATTATTTATTATTATTATTATTGTTATTATTATTATTATTTATCATTATTTTATTATAAATATTTTTATTATTATTATTACTATAACTATTTTAATCATTGTTATTAGGTGTTCACTTAATATTAGTAGTTTATACTATTTGTAAGCAACCTTGAAATGTAATACCAAATATTTCAGAGAATATATTGATTGATTGATTGGAAGGTTTTATTTTTGAGTTTAGAGACAGTTTTAAATAAGATTAAAAATGATAATAATGAGTATCCTCCTCTAGTGCCCTGAAGCTTTAGAGTGGTGAACTTATTGAGTATAAAAGAAAAACTTTTGTATACTTTTTTTTAAATCTCTTTGAGTATAGACCCCTCAGAAAAGTTTGGCTAAAAAAATTTATTTTTAGAAAATAACATTTAAAAAAATTATGAAACAAATTATTTAATACACACTATTGGCAGAAACAAGCCTGGTCAACTGTATGCAATCATTGTATCACAGAAACCAACTTGAAACATGCTCTTTAGAAAAATTTTCTCAATTAGGTTTTAACTTTTATCTTATTTTTAAATTTTAATCTTTTGAATAAAAAACATTTAAATGATTTTTACTTCTACTTTTCACAATCTTGATTTTTTTTTTTTATTATTTGTGTTTAAAGGTGTTAAGTTTTGTCTGAAAATAAAAACATTCATACATAATATTGCCTTTTGGCAACAAAATAAAAATTTTTAATTAAGTATATTGAAGTTCAATAATTTTTTTTTTTTTATTCTGATTCACTCTCAACAAGGCTGCAAGTAACCACTAATAAGTTGGGAGTTACTAAGAAAAAAAAAAGAGTTATGTAGCAAGGAAATGGTTGACAGAAGACTTATAAAGTTGAAGGTTGTATGATCCAGGAAACATAAAAATGTGAGAGAGTTCAAAAGGGTTGAAGTGCAGGGAAAAATAAAAAGTGTGGGACAAATAAAGATTTTTAGAGTATGCAGGGACAGTTACAGTCAAAGAATGAGACATGAATGATGAGTCAGGCAAGAATGAGTTTTAGTTAATGGAACTAGAGATGATAGCTCCAATGAGTAGCACCATGGTAATATTTGTAGAAAAAAGAATGAGATGCAACTTTATGACAGTTGGAAAGAGGCTCAAGCTTAGCAGATAGAGCGGGTCCAACTACGTTTACAATGGGTTTTTGAGCCTTGCCTAGTAGAGAAAGTTCATCATTAAAAAAACCAGCCCAAATATGACAATAGTATTCCATACAGGGAAAAATAATGTTTGTAGAGGCGAAGAATAAAATTATGAAGGAAGAAAATGACAAGCACGATAAAAAGAAGCAACCTAAGCAGATGCTAATTTAGCAATTGATTGAATTTATGGTCTTCATGAAAAGTCAGTAGTAAACAATAATCCGAGAAGACATAAAGAAAAAGACTCAGTTGCCATTCATTAATATAGGAATGTCCACAATACTGCAATAGTTGTTTGAAGTAAATAACTGAGTTTTGTTGGAGTTAAAATTTACAAGACACTGTGAACCACAATCTGTTACAGAAATGAGATTAGATTCAGGATTGTCTGTACTAAGCTATCAAAAAGAGAAGATTTTTTGTCAAGACAGGAGTTAAAGGACAAGTTATCAGCAAAAAGAGCTACTTTAGATGTAAGGTTGTCGAGAAGATCATTAATGGAGATAAGAAACAAAACAGGACCAAGGATAGAACCTTGAGGTACCCGAAAGGTTACTGGAAATATAGACGAGTGTTGGCTTTCAAGGATTTCTTTAATAAGGCAGTTAGAAAGAAACAATTTGATATTCTTAAAAACTTTTCCATATACACCATATAAACAAGGTTATGGAGAAGACCAGCATGCCAAACTTTGTCGAAAGCCTTAGATATGTCAAGAGCAATAGCCCTAGTGTCTCCACCTACATCTAATGCATGATAAAAATTTTCAGTCACAGAGGTTAGCCAGTCAGCCATAGAGTGAGAGGATCAAAAACCATATTGATTGTCTGATATTAAGTTATTTGACTCAAGATGGGATGTGAGAAATTTGTTGATCAAAGACCTTGCTAATAACAGAAAGAAGACTGATCGGACAATAGTTGGAGGGGTCAGAATGTTCACCAGAGTTTTTGAAAATTGGAACAACTGATGCTATTTTCCAGCAGGCAGGAAAACAAGACTCAGTCAAGTACTTATTTAATAATTTAGAGAGAATTGAAGAGAGTTTTGGGGAACAGTTTTGAAAGACAATGACAGGAATGTTGTCTGGATCACAAGCAGTGGAAGAGTTTAATCAAGACATGACTTTAGTAACAGAAGCTGGAGTGATTTGAATGTCTAACAATGTGTTAACCTGTTTAATTGGAATGGAAGGAAGAGATTGGCAGTAAGATTCCAAAGTTGAATTAGAAGAAAAGTTCTTTGCAAATAGTTCTGCTTATAGTTATCTTTGGGAGAGGTAATAAGATTAGTCCCATGAATGAGAGATGGAATGCTAGACCTATCTTTGTTAACAATGCTGTTGAAGATTTCCCAAAATGTTCTAGAGCCTAACTTCTGAGATAAGATACAAAATTTAGTAAACTGAGAATAATGGAGCTTAGCATTTGACAGCATTTTTTGACATCGATTTCTTGCAATAATAATTAGTTGTTTGTTCTCAAGAGAGTTGTTCTTTTGAAAAAGATGAAAAAAATGATTAGAGAGTGAAAACCATGGAGTTGAATGTGGCTTGACTTTGAACTGGCAAGAAGAAATAAAAACTTCTGTTCCTGCCTGAATCCAGGAGGTTACCTAGAAGGGGCATTTTTCAGCTGAGAGGGAGATGACATCAGCTCAACATCATGATTTTCTTCACTGTAATGAAGAAAATCATGAAAAGAATCCCAGTCAGCTTTAGGGTAGAAGTAAGTAGTGCAATGTTAGGGTAAGATAAAAGGAAGTATGAAATAAAAAATTAAGAGATCATTGCATGGTCTGAACCACCTAAAAGAAAAAAAGGAGAAACTGAACACAAACTAGGATCAGAGAACAGAAATCAAGGAGTGAAGGTAAATGATTAGGGTTGTCAGAAAAATGTGTTACAAAGTTAACTGAGTAAAAGATTAAGAAATTCAGAATTTGTATGTTTTAGTGCCAGCAGGGTCAGTGACATTAGAGTCAAGCCATTCAGTGTGATTAGCATTAAAGTCACCATTATCAACAATATTGGCAGAGGGGTAAAGAGAGAGGGCATTCTCAATTTGATCAGAAAACATCTAAAAGAGTGAAAAGAAACAAAAAGAAACATGAAAGAGTGAAGAGGTGCTAAGCAGAAGTCTTTATAAATCAAAGTACCCATCAACACTGAGATCAGAAGAAGGAAAAGCCGAATTTAAATTAGTCTCACTAAGAGTAAGCAAGTCTGGTAAATTTTGCCAGAGGTAAGATTCAATTGATGTAAGGTTGCTTCATGGACCACGAATATTGGTAAAAGATATATTAAAATAGTTAGGTGATGGGGATGGTTATTTATGTTTAATACTTTGGGTTTTAACTCATTCATAGATAGAGCACAGCCTTCTAACGAATGAGCAATGCAATTTTCTCAGCCCTGTTGATTAAACCTAAGCCATAACATAATGCTCCTTATGTGGCCTTGACAATGGGCACCAAAGCATAAACAAGGAAACCATCCATGTGCAACATGACACTGTTAATATTTTGATATTTTGCAGCTGGTGATAGAATCAGCCTCTCTGAGAGCTACTAAAAAATTCAGGAAAACTTACAACCAGCCAGCCTTTAGAACCATTAAACTGAGTTTTAGAGCTGTACCTTCAGTAGGAGAAGGAGGTACAAGCAAAAACCTACAAGAAGCATCAACCAGATTCAATATATTGTTCACGATTATTTTTTTAAAGTTGTTTCTCCTGAGCCATCTGTTAATTTTTTTTTTATTATTTTATTAAGATATACTTTGTAGCCAGGTTAAGTAGTTTTTCTGATTATAGACACCTGCATCCAAATTTATTTTGATAGAGTCAAATGGTCAAAAATATAAGAGAGCTAAATGTTTTGTGTACGGCAGGTAGCAGATTAATTTAATTCCGGTTTTATTATGTCAATCTATAATGGCTTGACTTACATGGAGTTTAGTTTTATTATAAAGAATTTAAAAATTTTGAATAATTGTTGTAGGCGTTTGCTTAATTTTGTGTATTATAGGTTTTAAAACATTCCTAACATTGACCAGTAATTATATCATTTTTTTCAATCTAAATAAATGACTCTAGTTGTTTCCAAGATAATATTTTTCCAAACTTGTTTCAGATAAAACTTATTCAACTTGTCTCAAATAAAAACATCTCCTGTAATCACAGTTTCCATAGGTGGTTCATTTGTGCGGTATCTAAGATTTTTTATAAATTTTGTAAGTTGTTTCATCAATTATAAAATGGTTAATCAATGTTAGTACTCTAATTATATGATATGTTGCATAATTATTTTTTTCAATAATGAAAAACACTTTGTTGATACTCTCAGCTGTTTATGTAGTTTGAGGTTGCCTTGAGCAGGTATTGTCTTTAAGACTTTCTCTTCAAACAGATCAGGTTTTAAAGTGGTATGGTTTTTTTTTTCAGTATGCTTGATATTCAATTTTTTTTACTTTCAATTTTTCTTTCAAACATGCTTAATTCCTTTCTTGTGGTGACCACAATATTACGATTTGCACAGGTTTTTCTACAATGTGATGCAATATTACCTTGATATCCAGTCACTGTGGTGCCTGTAATAGTACGTTTAGTGTTGTTTTACTTTTCTTTTTTGAATCAAAAAGACACATTGTATTGAAAGTTTATTTTATTATTATAGGGTTTTTTCTTTTTTCTTTTGGCTTGAATAACAAAAAGTTTTGTTTTGTTTTTTCAAGTTTTTAATAAGTTAAACTTTATTTTTGTTTGAATTACTTGGATAAGTAATTACTTATAAGATATGCTTGAAAAATTTATTTTGGTCTTAATATGTTACTTATATTAAAAAAAAAAAAAATTATAATAAAATGTGTAAAAGTTATAACAACAACAAATTTTTATTTATTATTTTTTTGGAAAAAAAACTCCACAAAAGCAAATATTTTTGAATAAAAAATTCCACACAGAAGAGCTTAAAGAAATTTTAATAAATCTTCTAGAAAAAGTGGAAAAAATTTAAAAATGTATTTGAAATGTTCTTAATTTAATATTGGTACTTAATTATTTCTCGTTATATTGCAACTTTATAAATATTGTAGGTGTTTCTAGTTAACAATTTTTTTTTTTTTTTTTGCATTTAGATCAGATTTAGAAGAAAAAAACACAACAATGCAAGAGTTAAAAACAAGAGTTGAAGAGCTTAAAATGGAAAATGAATACCAACTTCGTCTTAAAGACATGAACTATAATGAAACAATCAAACAGTTGACTGAGAAGTTTCTTCAGGAAATTGAGTTGTTAAAAACAAAAAATCAGATACTTAAAACTGACCGGGAAAAAGAAGTTGAAAAACAGCAAGAAGAAGTACGAAGCAATCTTTTTTTCATAAAAAAAATTATTTTTTTGACCAAAAATTTATTTACCATTACTGTCATGGTAACATGATACAGAAAAATAAATTTGAATTTCCATGCAAAGAATTAAGAAAAAGTTCAAAAGTTCAATTAGTTAAGCATGTTATGAGTTCATTAATTAGTGATTGGTTGTTCATTTATTAGGTAGTGATTGGTTGTTCATTTATTAGGTAGTGGTTTGTTGTTCATTTATAAAGTAGTGATTGGTTGTTCATTTATTAGGTTTTTATGAGGTTTTTATTAGGATTTGTTTTTTATTTATTACATAATGATTAGTTGTAACTAAATAGTGTTGATTATTGATTGTTTGTTCATTTTGTTTTCTTATTGTTCAGAATGGTTTATAATTAGTTATTAAAAGATTATGAGTAAACTTTTCAATAAATAATTGAAACTGCCTACCCAAGTTTTTGTTTGTCTTATGAAATCTTATCATAAACAAAAATAATACAAAATAAAGTCTTACTTACATTTTTTGAGATTAGATTGCATAAAATTTTTCTCAAAACAAAAATAAATGTTTAAATTTTTTGGTCAAACTTTTGGAAATATATCAATAGAGCAGGTCTGCATTATGTTTTCTTAATCTTGATTTAATGTATGTTGAGTCTGACATGCTATTTTAGAGATAAAATAATCATAGAAATTGTTGAAAGTAGGATATTTACTTTAAAGTATATATACAAATACAGTATATTAAATAAATAAAGTATGTACAAATTATAGGGTATATAAATGTATATCCTATAGTTTGCATTGTTGTATAGATACAACAATTCAACTGGATTAAAATTTTGAAATCAGTGGTCACTTGATTGATGCAAAAATAACAGCAATTATATCTGATTGATTAATTTTTTATAAATAACCCCGAATGATAATTTTCTGTGAATGGTGGTAAAAGGTTTTGAGTTAAAGACTTGTTCCAAAGTTAAGTTTTATTGTTCCAGAAGTATAAATTTCTGTACAATGTACTGCAGAATTTATTTATTTTTTTGCTTTTTTTTTTCCTAGATTTTTAGGCTTGATTCCTAGATTAGTCATCATCAATTCCTAGATTGTTTTTATTAACATTTATAGATATCAACATTTACATTTGTATATATCAACTGTAACTCAGCATTATGTTGTATATATTAGAGTTATCCTATATACAGTATTATTTTTATTGAATTATTTTTTTCATTTAGCTTGCTGATCTACTTGCTCATCATAACAAACAACTCGAAGACATTGACACAGTTAATAACAAGAAGTTGATGACTGAATATGAGAAATACCAACAGTTGCAGATTAAAAACCAACGCAATCAAGAAGAGTTTGAAAAACTTCGACAACAGATGGAAGAATCGAGGGAAAAAGCACTCCAAGAATTGACAGAGTTTTATGAAAAAAAATTACAAGGTTAACTTTTAGTTTGAGAGTTTTTAATTTGATCATTTCCTAATCTTTACCGAGTGGTAATATTTGATTTTTGTCAACAAAATTATTATGAGCGTTGTACATCATTGCACATCAACTTATTTACATTATGATTAAATCATGTTTGAGTCTATTTTAAAAATATATATACTTTAAAACTATTTTCAAATAAGTTTTTTAAATATTATTTGTTAAAAATCTGTAATTGCATAACTAAACCTTTTTCGATTTTTAGAAAAAAATTCACATTTGGATAATCTAAATGAAGAACTAGCTCAAAATCTTCTTGAGTATGAGGAAACAAAAAAACAGATTGAAGAAGATGCTGATTGTGAAATTCTAGATATTAATAACAAATATGAAAAAAGACTAAGAGATGAAAAAGATGCTAATCTAAGATTAAAAGGAGAAACAGGTCTTATGAAAAGAAAGGTATACATAAACGGCATAATGTTTACAGAGTATTATGTGAGATGTATGTTTGGTTGTAGCATAGTAAAAAAAATAAAACAGAAACTAAATATTGACAGTAATAAAGTTGCCTAAGATGGTTTTAAAAGATGGTAAAACATTTATTAACAGTAATAAAGGTGGTTTTAAAAGATGGTAAAACATTTATTAACAGTAATAAAATCAAAATCAGATTATTCAAATTTTAAACAAAATCTAAAAAATTATTTTTCTTAATATTTGAAACTAATTGTGTGTCATTAAATAAATAAATAAAATTAAAAATTTTATTTTATGTTTTTATTGGCATAGACATTATTTTATTATCTCCTGTTTTTTTTTTTTTTTTTTTTTCCTGTTTTTTTTTTATTTTTCAATGTTATCTTATTGTTCTGAATTTTAGTTCACAAGCCAACAAAAAGAGATTGAAGAGCTTAAATCAGAAATCCAAAGGTTGCATGGTGAAGAAGGAAAACTGCAATCAACTATTGAGTCTTTAGAAAAAGATATTTATGGACTCAAAAAAGAAATACAAGAAAGAGAAGAAACCATTCAAGATAAAGTAGGAAGACTGTTATAAATTTGTATATACTATATTTAAATATAAATATAGACTTATATATACTATATTTAAATAAAGTATATTTCTAATTTTTTTAGTTGTATTGGTTTTACTCATATAGTAGTCAATATTTTCTGAAGAACCTAATCAAAAAACACCATTTAAGTTTATTAAAGTTTAAATTATTTTGATAGTTTTTTATATTGTCTATCATATTCTGTATACATTTTAAATAAAAATTTTATTTAAAAATTTACTGTAAATTCAGTGTGCCTTTTTTGTATGCTTTGTTTGGAAATCATTGGTGAAATGAAAAAATGATGAAATGTGAAAAAACATGAAAAAATCTTTAAGGAATTATTGGGAACAATTACTTAAAGATTTGTCAATTTTGAAGTCCTTATACAAGCACTCATTGAACTGAACATCGACTAAATACTTTTATGAACTAACACTTTTTAGTTGTTTTATGTCTATTACTTTGCATGTTACAAAAAAATGCTACAATTAACAATAAGTATCATTTGCTAGTAAATTCAGGGGGTGCCCATTTTTAGCAATCATTTACATACATAAATTTTATTAATTTTGAGATCAAAAATATAATAATTATTTTAATAATAATTTATTTACTAATAAGATTATTTATATTCATTCAAAATCAAATATATAATTTATTATATATTTGTAATTAAATAATGATCTAATTTGTGAAACATAATTATCTACTTTGTGAAATGAAATTTTTGATTCTTCTTTAATTATGTCTTAACTAATATTAAAATGTCTTACAGGATGCTGGTGTCTATATATATATATATATATATATATATATATATATATATATATATATATATATATATATATATATATATACAGTGTCTCAAAAAATTATCCGACCAAACATTTTTTATAATATTTTTCTTAAAAAAATTATTAATTCTTAAAATATTTTTCTTAAAAGTGTATTTTTGTATATTTCGATTTTGGTAAACTCAAGATTAATAAAAATGTTTTTAAAGTTTTAAAATTTTTTCAATAGATTTTATTTATTTTAGTGTAAAGTATGAATCACAAAGTTTTCAGTCTTAGAATAAAGGAACTTAAGTCGTTTTTTTATTGTCAAAAAAATATTCAACCAAACATATTTTTTGTTCTATAATAAGTTATTAAATAACAAAACAATTATTTACTACTTTGTAGGGCCTCCCTTTGCTTGGATTAGAGCTTCTAGACGTCTAGGCATTGCTTTGACTAAAGATTTTGTTTTTTCTGGTTGAATCTTTTCCCAGGCTTCTTTAGTTGGCACTTTGAGGTTATCTTTTTTGGAAAATGACCAATCTCCAATTTTTCGGTCTAAAACTTCCAACAAATGTCCAATGGGATTAAGGTCCAGTGATTATGCGGGCCATTCCAAGACCTCATCATTATTTTCAGCAAACCACTCCTTGGTTTTAGTGGCACTATGCTTGGGATCGTTATCTTGATGAAATGTAAAATCAGATCCTTGCCAAAGTTTTCAAGCAGATGACTTCAAATTTTGCTTGTTTCTGTATTGCACCTGATCCATTACGGTATCAATAAATTGGAGTTTTCCAACACCCTTCCCAGCCATTGAACCCCATATCATCACGTAACCACCACCATACTTGACAGTTCCTCTCATGCAGCTCAATTTGTAGGCTTCTCCGGCTTTTCTCCAAACTTTTTGGGCTCCATCAGATGACTTTAAGTTGAGTTTTGATTCGTCGCTCCACAGGATCTTTTTCCAGAAACTTAACAGCATGTTTTTGAACTTCTTAGCAAACTCCAATCTTCATCATGTGTTTCTTACTCAAATATGGTTTATTATGTACAAGTCGTCCTTGAAACCTCTAGCATCGGATACGATTTCTGATTGTCTGATGGGATAATTTAATTCCATAATTCTCTTTAGCTAGCTCAGCCAGTTTTCAAGCAGAAATGAAGCGTTTTTTTTGACTTGTAAAATTAAGTTTGTATCAAAACTCTTAGTCTTTTTTTTGCAACCCTGTCCTTCTTTTGTGGCTGTTGTTCCGATCAAATTATACTTCTTCATTATGTCAGATAATGTATATACTGTAGATAATGTATGTAATGTAGATACTGTATTATGAGGAATTCTAGTCTCTTGCTGCACCTGAAGATAGATTTTACTCTGATTGACTAGATCGACAGCTAAATTTCTCTGAAAAACAGTCCAGTGACGTCTACCTCCAACCATTTTACTTAAAAAAATATGAAACCTTTTTTTTATACAAAACTTTTTTTTTTACTACAAAAAAAACAGTTTTTTGTTATGCAATTTCATTAGTTTGTATAAATATTTGCTAAAATATTTCAACAAATTTCACATAAAGTTAATTAAACTTACCTAAATATCGCTTGGTCGTATAATTTTTTTACAAGCCTATTCAATACTAAGTTTCTTTTACGACAAATAATAAACCAACTGAAGCATGAATCAAAAAATATGAATGCTAAATAACATACTATTCCCAATAAAATTAAAATGACAGACAAAGCATGTATCGCTATTCATTGTTTTTAGTATAATTTAGAGTGTAAACATTTTTTTTTGTGAAAAACTTGTTTGGTTGGATAATTTTTTGAGACACTGTATGTATATATATACATATATATACATTATGTATATATATGTATATATATATATATATACATATATTTATTATTGCTCTGTTCTTTAAGAACGTTGAGCGCTTTATTTGTAGAATACACTAACATAGTTTATATATATATAAATATATATATAAACTATGTTAATAAATATATATATATATATATATATATATATATATATATATATATATATATATATATATATATATATATATATATATATGTGTGTGTATATATATATATATACATGCATCAATAACTATATATAGAAAATCCATTCTTAATTAAAGTTGTTTGACAGTTTATTTGCAATTAAAAAATTGTTAACTTGAAATTTTAATGCTGATATTTATTTTTCTACAGGAAAAAAGAATATATGACTTGAAGAAAAAGAATCAAGAACTTGAAAAATTTAAATTTGTTCTTGATTATAAAATTAAAGAGCTCAAAAAACAAATTGAACCAAGGGAGAATGAAGTTAAGGCTCTGAAGGAACAGATACATCAGGTTTTGTTTTGTTCTTACTCCATGAGGTATTATATTTGTGTGTGCGCGTGTGTGTGTGTGTGTGTATATATATATATATATATATATATATATATTATATATATATATATATTTATATATAAATGTATATATATATATATATATATATATGTATATATATATATATATATATATATATATATATATATATATATATATATATATATACAAATAATTTTTATTGCCTTTATTTGTGTTGCTTATTAAAATAATAGCTATAGACGGTGTATTAACAAATTGTCTAAGAGCTCAGCAAATAAGTTACGCAGGTTCAAAATATGATAAATAATAAACCCCAACTATTATCTGTGTGTACTATGTTTAGGTTAAGACACTAAGTTTGGTTTGTGAGGTCTCTTAGAAACGTATAACACCCTTTTGTATAGGTGATTTTTTTTATTATTTCCGAATAGTTGTTAGAAATAGTAAAAATTTATTATAGTTTTTAAAATTTCTATAACTAGAAACAGCTATTAAAATTTAAAATTTCTATAACTAGAAACAGCTCTTAAATTTTAAAATTTCTATAACTAGAAACAGCTTATAAAAAATATTATTATAATGAGTATCAAAAAACTCATTATAATAATATTTTTGTATAGTTAAAAAAACAAAGAATATTTAAAATGCATATAATATGTATTTTTTGTTCTTTGTTCTTTACTATTTTTTACTTTAGTATTATTTATATATACACTGCATTGACATTTTCTCATGTACCTTGTTACATTTAAACTTCCGACTTATTAATCAACAACATTGATTATTAAATGAGATGATAGGGAAGCCTAGATTAACACATAAAATAGCTAGTATAATATAGCCTAGATTAATGCAAATATAGTTAACACATGTTAATTGAGGACATTTTATATAAAGCACACATGGTGTTTCTTTGATAATTCTAAATCGAATTGCACACATCTTAAAGTATTTTGAAAAACCAGCAAACTTTTGAAACTTTAAACGTTTTATTTTACGTTCACTTCATTTTGAGTAAATGAAAAAGTCTGTAATTTAAATCATTTCAAGCGATGTTTCTGAATTTAAATGGTAGTGGAGTAGCGCTTTGATTTTTTTTTTGTTTGCTATCAAAATTTCTTAGTAAAGCGCTTTAGCAACTCCTCTACCAAATTCAGAGTGTAGCAGAGTTTCATACCTTGCGAGTCCTGAACCTATTAAAAAAAAATGACATAATAAGTCACCCAGCTCTGATCCTAAGACAACTACATAAACTACTTGTGTACTTGCACAATATAAAATTCAATTTAAAAAATTTTGTTTAGACATGAGAGGAAAAACTCTCAAAGCATGAAAATCGAAGGTAATTATGTTGTATTAGCTTTTACATCGCTTATTTTTTCTATAAAATTAGCTTTTTAAAACTAAAATATTTCCAAATGGGGCAAGTTGGGGCAGCTAACTTTTTTTTATATCATTAGAATCATAAAAAACTGTAAGTTGTGTAGTTATTAATAACATTATTGAATGTGCACTACTCAAAAAGCTGTTTTTTGGCATAAATTTTAGGTGTTTCTCAATCACTGTGCAATGGTCCAAATCTTAGAAATCCATATAATGTCTTAAATGTCATTCGTAAGCGTCAATAAATTTTGTTTTGAAATTCTTCTAGTACTATATTTACATAAACCTCTTAAAAATAGACTGTAAATATTATTAGAATGATTTTTAGAATTGTTTATGACACAATGGAGTACTATTCTATAGTTTTAGGGCCTTGCACAAATGCTTTATCAAGTTACCCCATACTAACTAGTAGAAAACAGTCACTTTATTTTTAGTATTAACTTGTTTTTCAATAGTTTTGTTTAATTAAATAAAAAGCTTATTGAATATAGTTTACAAAATAATGTTTCTTACTGATAGACATGTTGAATAGCATATCTTAAAACTTAGTGACTAAAAAAAATAATAAATTACTTTGTCATAAAAAAAGACACAAAATTCGACCCCTCCCAGGCCTAACGATATCAAATAATGTAATTTCAAAACATAGCTCTTGTGGTAACTATTTTACCATATGAAAGTAGTTATCGACCCCTCGCAGGCCTAATGGTATCAAGTAATGAAACATATGAAAGTTGTTGTCACTCTTTAGATTCTTCCACAATTATTATGTTTCATGGTGCCATCTTGATACATAAGAGAAATGTTATACAAAATCAATTGTTATCTTCAGAATAGACACTTGCTTCTAAACTTACCTTGCTTGATTTTTACTTTCTAAAGAAAACTATTAACCATAACACTGTGAAATCCATGAAAAAATTACTTGAAGCACACACTAATAATTGCAAAAAATTTAATTAAAAATTAAGTAGTATTTTTTAACCATTAATCATTAAAACTCTCTCCACAAAGAAGAATTAGATATTTTAAAAAATGGTTTAAACTATTCAATTGAGACTAATAAAAAACAGATATCTTTACATCGTTAGAAGTGGTAAGCCATTCTATGCTGTTCAATCTAAAAAGTGATAATGATGCAATAAATGTCAAAGTTCATCTCTAACACATTGTTAATTCACTTTACTACAACTATAAACCAAACTAAGCTACTTTAAGAAAACACTCTATACTTGAAAAACTAAAACATTAACCAATAATGATCATGAAACCAGATAAAGATCATGGTATCATTATAATGGATTAAAATAATGTTTAAATTGTATTTTAAAAATAATTAGTGACAATTTACTGAATTAAAAACAGACCTTACTAAGAGTAGGACAATTACAACGAAAATTAACAAAACTAATTGATAAAAAATTCTTTACTAAAACACAACATTTTAATTTTCAACCTATAGGTTCTCAAACATCTTGTCATTATGGTCCACCTAAGACTTATAAATTTTTGGATACAGTTAATAACCTTAATTTTTGACCTATAGTTTTTTCCATTGGTTCTTATTACGAAAAACTTGCACAATTTTTTGGTAATCTTCTCAAACCATGCATAAACACCAAACTGTCACCAAAAGATAGGTTCAAATTCATTCAGGATATAAACACCAAACTGTCACCAAAAGATAGGTTCACATTCATTCAGGATATAAACACTAAACTGTCACCAAAAGATAGGTTCACATTCATTCAGGGTATAAACACCAAACTGTCATCAAAAGATAGGTTCACAACTGTCACCAAAAGATAGGTTCACATTCATTCAGGATAGAAATACCAAACTGTCACCAAAAGGTAGGTTCACATTCATTCAGGATATAAATAAAGTAATCACATTAAATAAATGTATGGTGTCATTTGATGTTTAAAATTTATTCACATTTTATTTTACACCATTACAAGAAATTTTAAAATTAGCTGTAAATTTTATTATTGATAACAATCCTAATTTCAAAGTTATTAAAAAAATGTTTTATAAATTATTCTTGTTGGCTCCTTTAAAAAATTATTTTTTATTTAACAACAAATATTATGAATGATGCGACAATATAGCTATGGGGTCCCCTCTTGCTCCTATATTAGCTAATCTATTTATGAATCATATTAAGTTATGTTTCTTAAACTACCTAGCTAACAAACCCTTATTTTATCACAGGTATGTTGATTACATTTTTCTTTTATTTAAAAACAAGATTCTTTTAAATACATTAATTATATGAATCATCAATACAAAAATATTAAATTTACCATGGAAAAAAAAGTAAATCAACAATTAGCTTTTTTAGATATTTTTATTGACAAAAAATAATATTTTAACTACCAGCATATTTAGAAAAAAAAACTTTCTCAGGTCTAATAAAAAGTTAAGTTTTACCAATATTTAATACAAAATTGGCATGATAAAAACTTTAATAGATAGGATTAATAAAACTAACAACAAATCTAATTTACATTCTGATTTAGTTAAACTTAAACCTCCAAAAAACCCTGACTAAACTAATTGATATATATGTATATCTTGGTTCTGAGCCAGAAATCTAACCACTGCACCACAGCTGCTTAACCACATTTAAATGTGTAAAATTGATAATTCAGTTATCACATGGAATCACATAAGAATAAATTCCCAAAAATTAAAATTTCGCGTTGAGATTTATCAGAGTTTTGGATTTTTAGATTAGTAAAGTTTTTTAGACTAGTTATAAAATTATAATATTATATATTTTTAGAAGATTTTTAGAACTTTTTAGATTTGAGATTTTTAGAACTTATTGCTTTGTATTACTATATTGGATATAAAAACATTACTTTTGTCATAACAAAAAATTTATATATTAGATGGAAAATGAGCTGGAGAGATTCCAAAAGCAAAATACTGGGCTTGAAATTAATTTGGCTGAATTACGACTTAAAATCAAAGTTACTGATAATAATCTTTATCAAGAACGTCGCATGGTATGTGTTTAAGCTTTTAATTTTTGAATTGTAATTAGAATTACTAGAATTTCTCAATACAATTTTTTATCTTTCTCAAGAAATCACAACATATTTTAGATTATGTTTTAAACTGTTTGTTTTTTTGTTTTTTTTAAAAAAATACTCTTACCTCTTGTAAACTATTTAACTGAAAAAAAAAAAAAATTTCGGTTAAATAGTTTACAAGAGGTGAAAGTATTATCCATAAATAAGAAATATTTTTAAAAATATCAATAACTATTTATTTGTATAATTGTTTAATGCTACTATATACTCATGTAAGGTGACCATTTTCCACCATTATCACCATTACCCACACTACCACTATTATCATTTTTTAATCTCATTCTTATGCATAATATCTTTTAAAATGTTTTGTGTCAATTTTTATAAATTTGAAATAATTCCATAAGCAAATATAACTTAAATTAATTAATGTGGTAGGTGAACTAAATCTTTATATTATATATTTATTCTTTTTATAATGCAGACTGTATACACTTTATCTTCTTTTTTTTTAATAGGTTCAGGACTCGCAAGGTGTCATAAAACGTTTTAAATCTGATTTGTATAACTTATCAGCTTTTCTCCAAGATCCCAAAAAATTTAAAGAAGGTTTTAACGACTTATATGAAAAGTATATTGGAAATGAAAACGTAAGTTAAATTTACTTAATTACTGTCTTACTTGAGTAATATAATTGCATCACCGGTTTTGACTACTTATTGAAAAATATGACTTTGGTTATTATATTATTTTTTAATTCTTTCTGTTTTAAAGTAATCAATATTTCCACATTTATGTTTTTATGTATAGCCTGAAAACACCAATATAGACATAGATATTCACAAAGAATACGCACGTCAACGAGAACATTTGGAAAAAAGTATTGCTTCTTTGCGCAAAAAACTTACAAAAGATTCAGAGATTCATAGAGCTGAAAATATTCGAATAATACAAGTAAGTTTTACTCAAGCTAATAGGGCTAACTTTGTGTGATATGGTTGATTTACTTATTAAAGTTTGTGTGTTATGGTTCATGTGTTCATTAAAGTTTGTGTATAAAGATTTTTTATGTATAAATTTTGATAGTTATTATTATTTTTTTTTTTAATTTTATGTTTCTTAAATAGTTATAATAATTTTTTTTTTTTTTTAATTTTAATTCACCTCCTCAAGGCCGAGAAGGCCACTACAGACGAGGAGGCTACTTATTTGTGGCTATAACCCTCTCTCAACTCTATAACTCCGAAACACGAACCTTGACGAACAAGGCCGCTGCGCGGAGAAACGAGTTGAGCGCGGTACTACCAGGGACGTGGTGGGGATCGAACTCGGAACCACTCGTTTATGAAGCGAGCGCTCTACCACTACACCACTACCGCATTGATTATTTATTATAATTATTAATTATTATAACAATTATGCTTATTATATTTATGCTTAAATATTTTTTAGATTCTATTCATTTATTTAAATTTGTGTAAATTTTATAAAATGAAATAAAGTCCTTTTTTTTTTAGGAAGTTAAAATTATTGAATTTTAAACCAAAGTTTTAATATTTTTTAAATATCATATGGTTAGTAATCTTAATACTTTTAAACGTTATAAATACTTTTTTAATTACTATTGACACATTTTCACACATTTTTAAATTCATTTTAATCTCTATTAGTTTCATTTTATCCATTACCAATTAAATGTTTTGCATATTCTAAGCTATTATATGCTATCTTTTGAAACAAAATTTAAAATTTAAGATTTTATTGTAACTAAAATAGTTATTGCATTTAAGGTGTTTGCCAAAATTATGAAATTTCAAGGTTTTTTTGTTTTTATCTTGATTTGAAAGATATTCTTCGTCTTTATCTTGATTTGAACTAAAATAAACTTTGACTGTTGCTTAGTTTACAAATTTGCTTACAACGTGAGAACGTTTAGATCAAATCTGTTTCTCTTGTTGTTACAAATTTTGTATCATATATTAAATTGATCACCAAATCTTGCCATCAACATTTAAATTCCTTTAAATAACTTCTAAATGTGTAAAATTTAAAAATCCCTAAAGTTTTGTTAAAGTTAAGTAGGTTTCAAGCTTAATTTTGAATTGTTTTAAACCAATCAAAATAAAAAGTAGGTTTCAAGCTTAACTTTAAATTGTTTTAAACCAATCAAAATAAAAAGTAGGTTTCAAGCTTAATTTTGAATTGTTTTAAACCGATCAAAATAAAAAGATTTTCTTTATTTGACCCTATTTAGAAACAATAAACTCGTGAAAAGTTTTAATTAAATCACTGAAATAATTGATTTTCAATAGGAAAACTCGACTCTTATCAATGAAATCAATGATCTGCGACGAAATTTAATAGTCGCAAAAAGAGAAATACAGGGACTAGAAGCGGCCATGAAAATGCTCCGAAAACATCAAAACTTACCCACAACTCCTGTTAATACAAACGATGAGCATATAAAGCTTGTAGAGCTTCAAAAACAAGAGATTTGTAGATTACGGTCTCAGATTGCTGATCTCGAAGCAAAAGTTATTGAAAGATCAAATTCTTCAAACCGCTTACCGCCACTTCATCAGTTATCTATATAATTTTGAAATTATATTGAAATTTTTTTTAATTGAGCATGTTAATATATATTTTTACTTGTTAATAATAATTTATTTGCTAAACTTAATAGACTTTTTTTCCTATTGCTATCTATATATCTTTCAAAACTTGTTTTGCACAACATCATTTATCTAAAGGTTAAAACTTTTGTATATTAGTTAATGTAGCAAAAGTGAATAACTACAAATAGTTTTTAAGAATCGCAAAAAGTCTTTTTAAAAAATACAAAAAAAAGAAACCCAATAAAACTGATACCAAAAACTAATAACTTTATGCTATCAAATATTAGCGCCACTGAAGCATTAGCTGTCGTTAATCAATCATTAGCTGTCATTAATCAATCATTAGCTGTTACAAAGTCAAAATGACTGAAAAAAAAAATAAAAGTTTAATGATTCTATATTTTATTTTTATATTTTTCTATATTTTACTGTTCATTTAAACCAGGATTTTGCCATTTAACAATAAATTGTTAAAAAAACAAAACAAAGAGCACCATTGGTGTAACCAAGAAACACCGTCTAAGTTTTTTGGTGGGGATGGACTAGTTTAGGGTGTGTTAGATCTCCTTAAAATTTTGATACAGTTGATCACATTATAATAATTTAAATGTACATTACGTCATTAAAATCTTAACACTAAGACACTTGACATACATGTTTATACATTTATTTATATACACAAATATATACATTTATTTATATATACATAGACACACATACATACATACACACACATACATACATACATACATACATACATACATACTAGTGCAGCAGATTAGCATTAAAAATGACTGAAATTGTGCACAAGTGGATAAAAGCATGAAATTTTCACCAACAATTCAGAAAATTATGCTGATCATTTTAAGATATGGTGGTAAACCATAGAACAGGCTTAAATTGATGATGCCAGTTACCGCCATCTTGGATTTCTAAAAACCTTAATAAATTTTTAACTGTTTAACTAATCTTCGCCAAAATCTTAGGGATGGTAAATCATAGGAAGTATACATTGACCACAGATGCGCAAATGAGGGGGGATAGGGCATTGGCACGGCCTCTCTTTCCCCCCCCCCTCCTCCGTTCTAGAATTTTTATATATATATATTTCTAAAAAACTTGCAACTAAATCAAATATTTTCTGCAGCTAAGAAACCAAAATAATTTTTAATAAGCATATTAGTTAAAATTATTCTATACATTACTGTATTTCAATCTCTCGTACACTCTCTTTGACAGCTGCGAAAAGCATTACATTTTAAGCTGTTACAAACACATTTACAGCGGCGTGTTGTACAATCTGTCTTACATCCGCACTGAATTAATTCAGGACAGCAGTTATCAGCTTCTGGAAGCGTGATCCATATTGGATGCCAATCACTGTAGCAAGTTACAATCATTGTAACCAGCGTTTGCTGCATGATATGCATGTAAAATGAGGCGAGTATCAGCCTTTTTATAAAAACATCGTTCAAGTTTATCAAAGGGACGAGAGCTAGAAGACAGAAGATGTTCCCGGGCGGTGGCTATTACAACTTTCGACTCGGGTGATTGAATGGAAACCGCTTTTTCAGATAAAAATTGAAAAAGCTCTGTTATGTTGTCATCATCCTCATAAAATTCCTGCCATTTATGTGGGACAGGCGCTTGAGGTCCAACACGTACTATGTCTCTAGTTCCTCGTTTTGCACGTATAGCAGATTTCAAGCTTTGAGCTTTATAGGTGTCCCAGACAAGATCTAGCCGCTGCGTTGTAGCAGTTTGTAAAAGGAGATAAGACAGGAATATGTCTGATGCATAAGATGCAAAAGTCTTAGCTTTACCAGGCTTCAATAACTGAACAATCACAGCTCCAACAAGAGCCATCATATCAAATGTAGGTGTGAAAGGAACAATGTCAATGCTTTGGGTAATTTTTTCTAGGCATGGAACCAAATCAGACTTGGTTCTGTTAACAAAGCGATCTTGAACAAAATCTTTGTACTAAGATTGGCTTACATCATGAATTAATATAATATCGGCTGCAGTACAGCTTACAATACGCTTGCTATGTAATACCGTAATATCTTCACAGTCAACTTGAAATGGGTTGCCCATATTGAAATGGTTGCCTAACTAGTGTATCAACTAGGACATTTAAATTTTTTTTGAAAGCCGTCTAAACACTTTCTTGTTGATCATGGTGTCTGCAATCTGCATTGGCCTCACGCATTCCATATTTAAATTCTTTAACGAGCCTAGATACTGCCGGTCCTGCAATTATCTAACAACGTAATGCGTGTTTGTCTTGTGTTAAACCAATAGCACCACCATCACCTTTAACTGCATTGTTTATGGCTTTGATCAATAGCCATTGCTGAAAATTTTTGTACAGTTTTTTTAATAGTAAATTTTCCAGCCTTAAATGCAGCTAAAATTGATGGACTATTCTGCGAAAGATAAACCATGTCTCGAATGTGAACAGATAACCATCGAGCATAATGAGTTCGATCAATTGAAAAAAACCATGGTACCTGATAGAGACCTGATAAACGTAAGCAAAACAAGCTGAAGTTTTTTGACTGTACTCCAATAAGCAAATTGTGGATGAACCATTTGCTTTACACACCAGTTATTGAAAGACAACGATTGAATGCCGTCGTCAAGCAAACTACAATAGGATTTGAAATTGTAATATATAATATGCAGAAACAGAAAGTTCATGCTGTAGAAAACCTAAACATAAAAGTTTCATATGCAACATTTTGTGCTTGTAGACCATTTTGGGTGGTAATTCCGACTGCACGTGACAGGGAAACGTGTCTCTGCAAGTTGTATGAAAATGGACGACTTTTTATTAACGAGCTTGCTCAGCTGAAGATCCTGCCGTTAAATTGTATGACTGTTGGTAATTGTGTAAAAGAAATAGTATGCATTGGTTTGCAAAAAGAGTGCTTGAGAAAGTGTGAAACATATTGCTTAAAAGATAAAGAATTACTGTAAAGAGAGTTTGATGGAGAACAACCATACAAATAGCAGCAATAGAAAACAATACGGGAGAACTGACTGATCAAAGATAAGAACACAATAGTAAAGAGAACTGTAAAATAGGAAATTAACGGGACTGTTAGAGAGCTTGTAGGAACATATTTGGAAAGTATTCCGTCATTATGTCTTCATGTTTTCAATATCAGCCACCAGTTTAATAATTATTGCATGCTGAAGTCTAGCCTTTCGATGCAGCAATAGTTGTTGACTTTTCAGAAAACTATACAAGTAAAATGGAGCGAGCCGTACAGTCATCGCGATTCGGTGCATCCAACTATCATTTATCCTTACACACCGGTGTTGCATACTTGAATGAAAAAATTGTATCATTTTGCACAGTGTCAGATTGCACCAAGATTAAGCCCGCTGTAATATGGTACTATTTGCTGCCAGTTTTGCGTCATTCAACACTTAAAACAATACATTTTTGGAGTGATGGGCTAACAACACAGTATAGGAACTAGCATCATATGCCGTTACAGGGTTGCCACTATAATTTTAAAAGTTTTTTTCTGTGTATTTCCTGAAGTACATTCTTCCCTGAAGTACATTATTCCCTGAGTTTTTTAAATTCCCTGAGTTTTCCCTGACTATTCTATATTATTATTATTTTCCTTACCTATACACTTTATATTTGACAAACTAAAACTTTTAATACAACGCCCACATCTTGCAAACTTGTAACTGTATGTATTAGCAAAATATTAAAAAAATAATAATTATGGTACAAAAATTCAAAAAAAAAAAATTATTTTCCCTGATTTTATAAAAATTTGAAAAAATCCCTGAGAAACCAGGTATTCCCTGGGATTCATGCTATTTCCAGGTATTCCAGGTTGAGTAACAACCCTGCTGTTAACTTGTCATTATTTTGATGAACGATTTAAAGGCGGCAGCTTGAATTGCTTTGAAGCTGGCCATGGCAAGAGTGCAGCAGACGCGATCGGAAACACTCTAAAACGTACTGCTGATCAAATAGCCGACCATGATGTCATGGTTACTTCAGCTGCAAATTTTGTAGAAGCTTTACAGCAGAAGACTGTTATCAAGTTATTTCTAGTCAGCGAAGAAAATATTGGTGTTAAGGTGAGTTTCCACTCATCCGTTTTTTCACGGGAACGGGATAGGGAAGGAAAAAATAATCACGCGAGCATGCGTAGTTTTCCTTTAGACATATTAAAAATTATACTACGCATGCCCACGTGATTATTTTTTCCGTTCCCGTGAAAAAACGGATGAGTGGAAACTCGCCGTTATAGCTAAAATGATCCTCGAAGGGGTGAAACCCGTTGCAGGAACAATGAAACTGCATCAATTGCAATTCATTGAGAAAGGAGCTATTTCTGATCGTAATTTTTCATACTTTTGCCAGATCTTGAGCACATGTAATTGCCATAAAGCACGGAGGGTTCAGTTTGGTCCACTGAAAGTGGTCGCAGAAAATGAACATGTTGCTGAGGTTGAATTCGATCTGCTCAATACAGCAACAGATATTGTACAACTAATTGCATAAATAATAAATGCTGATGATACTTCAAATGTCGAACAACATCCAACGACAGCTGAACTTATAATGCTCGTGGTGCACGATTGGTGTATTGTTCAATACAAAATAAGTGTTACACTGAACAGATACTTGACAACGATGCAGATTCAGCTGAATGTATCTACGTTACTACAAATGACAGGAATGCACTAATTTAAATACCCAACTCGTGAAGACAAGATATGATATAAACAATCAAAAAAGCTTCACTATTAGGTTTTAAGGCGTGCATTGACACTTGTGAAGAAGATTGGCAGTGCATCAATGCAAACGATTACTCGGTGCTCATAATGCTTTCAATATATCGTTGACTAGTTTACTGCACTTAATACTCTCAATGTTTTTTTTAATTTGCTTATATCTTAGTCACTGCTTGCTTGAGTCATTTTAAGTCTTAAATCATCAAACAACAGTCATTTAAATCTGGTCATGATATTTACCTGAACTTCGTATGTAAATTTTATAAAACTGTCATGAAAACGATTGCTGCTGACAACAAATAATAAAATATGAAAAAAATAAATGCTTTTTTAACGAATTAGTATCTTTATTGATAACTAACTAAAGGTAATGTTTATAATAGCTTACTGCATATATAAAGTAGTGATTTCGATTAAATCCATCATTTAATATTGTGATGTCATGTACGTAACGCGATTAAAATTTGAATTTCTAAATTGAACTTAAATAGATGAAATTAAGTTTTATTGCTTATTTGTACACACATTTTTTAAATGTATATGTATTAAATTTGTACACACGAGTTTTTTTAAAAACAAAACAAAAATATTTTTGTTTTATGCAGTTTATTTTTAGTGAAACTAGTCTTTTGAAAACGCGCCTAATTATAGAAATACTCATAAATTTTAATAATATGAAATAATTATATGAATAACCTAAACTGTACTTCATCAAGATAATTTGCATATATAATATTAATTTTTTTTTTTTAAACAAATGAATAATTTATATAAAAGAATTTTAAAATTTCATGAGCAAATTAGTGAAAAAATGAAACTAATAGATTTTTCATTTGTAAACTAAATTGTTTTAAAAGCACTTCTGAAAACGTTTATTGCATGTGTAACTTAGAGTGTTTCTTTAAATTAGATTTGACGTTACTACTATAATTGCAAACTGTACATTTAAATGGTTTGTCGTTTGCGTGAGTTCGTTCGTGAATCTTTAAATAACCTTTTATTGAACATTTATAATCACAAATAGTGCAATGAAACGGTTTTTCTAAAGTGTGTTTTCTTTTGTGCGTTGTGATAGCCAACTTCGACGAACATTTATAATCGCAATAAGGACATTTGTATGGTTTGACTTTAGTGTGAGTTCTTGTATGAAGTGTTAAATTAAATTTCTGTTTGCACTCATAGTTGCAATAGGTACATTTAAATGGTTTCTCATTGCTATGTATTCTTAAGTGAACCGTTAAATTTGATTTTTGTGCGCATTTATATTCACAGTAAGAACATTTAAACGGCTTTTCACCAGTATGAGTTCGCATATGCAATCGGAAATTATTTGCAGCTTTACATATATAATCACAATAAGTGCACTTGAGTAGTTTTACAAGATAGTGATATCTTGAGTGTCTTTTCAAATCCATTTCATAGGCGCTTTCAAAGTTGCAGTATTTACATTTAAATGGTTTTTCACAATTTTGTGTTTGTAATTGTCCAGCTTCTCTACAATTCAAGTGTACTCTTAAATGTCTTTCTAATCTTTCCATTGTTGTGGATTTATAAAGACAGAATGTACATTTAAATGTTTTTTTGTAGCAATGAACTTGCATATGCTTTTCCATTATATATGGACGCATACATTTGTAATCACAGAAGGGGCACTTGTTCAGGTTATTAACAAGGTGAATACCTATATGTTTCGTGAGTTCGGATACCATAAAACATTCAAACTCGCAGTAACTACATTTTAAAGTTTTATTATTACTTTCAGTTTGCAATTGGTCCGTCAAACTAGTTTTTGGAGTGAACATTAAATTTTCATTGCACTCGGAATAATTCTCAAAACCAACAGAAGTGTTGTTGCCATTAACATTTGAGCAAGATGTTAAATCAACTGTAAACTCGTTTGGATGAACCATTGATAATGCTTGAATTATGTTATTTCTACCTCTGGTTTTACAACGTTTGATGTGCGATTTTAAAAATTCTTCAGAAGTAAAACATTCTGAGCATTTCCTGCACGGATAACTCCCTAAAAAATTAAATACAAAGGATGAATAATAGTAATGTCACTGCTTATTTTAACAAAGAATCTTTTAGAAAAAAATAAAAAACTTAAAAAAATATTGCATTTAGAATTGTTCTTTAAACAATGTAACATTGTAAAGATATCGGATTTTTGTGTTATAAGTGAAAGTTGATCTGACGAAAAAATAAGATGTTATTTAATTTAATTACAAAATATTGAAATCATCAATAAAAAAATATGGAGAGTTGTAAAAAGAGAAAAATATAACAGTAAAAAAGCATAAATAAATTTGGATACTGGAGAAATTTAAAAAAATTATGGAACCATTATTCTGTATCAGAAAACACAATAATTTGTTATAAATGATGAATCAGATTCAAAGTAATTAGATTATTTTCATTATAAAACAGGTCTGGTGAGTAAAACATAGAAAACTCCATGTTAAAAATATCTATGATACATTGCATCATGATTGAACATCTCGATCATCATTTTATAATCTTGTAGAAAAGCTAAATTATAATTGCAAAATATTCATGGTTCTGTACAAATATATGAAAATTTACTTTATACCAGATTGCTGATGAACCCGCAACTACTGAAAAAGTAAAGGAAAGAATATTATAATTAAGAACTAATGCAAAGATTATATCGACCCAAAGAATAAAGTACAAGTTTAAATTAACCAATTTAAACTTGTATCAAACAAACAAATCTAATATTAGAAACAATCAAAACCCAATTGTTGTTGTATTTTATAGTGCAGAATAAAGAAACATGGTATTAGCGGTAGCATCCATCCTATTTAAAACTGAACGCAAGAATGTTTTTATCAGATCTGAATGAACACATGTAGAACAAGCTGAATTTAACAAGCTTAATAGCATAAGCAGCAAACAGTAATCTTGAAAAACACGGTAAATCATCTGCAGTAAAAAGGTCTACTGCATCAATGTATCTAATACATTTAGAATCAACGAACGTTTAAAAATACACATATGTTGAATGGCAAAAAAACCATATTTCATGCTCAAAATCAATATATACACAATAATATCAAATAATATTATCAACGTAAAACCATTTAGCTAAGCTCAAGTCAAGGAAGTCATCAAAATTCTGTAACATTAGTTTTAGGGTCAGATGCATTCTAGAATAAACTGTTTAGTGCTATGTGCTTAGTTGGAGGTTTGAATTTTAACAAGTTAACATAAAATAACATGAAAAAAAACAAAGACATAGCATACACATTAGTAGGTGCCACTTTATCAGATCATCATTATGTATATACTCTTGTTTATTTTTGAAGTTGTTGACTTTCCATCATTTTGCAATACAGCTTCGTCATTTTGCAATACAACCGGTAACCGGTAAATATAAAATTTTTCAAGACTTAAAACTGAATTATCCAGATGCATTTACAACATCAAGCCTCTTCCTCCACTTTGCAATACCACAACCTACACCACTTGTCTATTAAATTGCATCTGGCTAACCCCGAAACTATAAAAAATTTTTGTGGAATATGAATTATAAATTAGCAGACTTCAAAAATATAAATCTTGATACTAGAAATATCGACTAGTATATTCAGTTTACTTCTAAAAACACATCACAGTATTAAATGTTTCTCATTGAGTACAATTATTTAGGCAATAAATGGATACCTCGTAGTAAAAAATTTCATAAAGTTTACCCCCTTGTATGAATGATAAAGAAGTACTTTAGAATTTTAGTCCAGCAAAAATAGATCAGTTAAAAATTATATCAGTTCTAGATAAACATAAGAAAGATAATAATAGAACAGTAATGCATCAAAATCTGTGAAAATAGTAAACATCAATTCAAAGTAAATACAATAGTTAATGTTGAGTCAAATCACACTTGAAAAAAGAAAAGATTGTTAAACAAATAATAATGATAAGTAACAATTATAGTAATAATACAAAATAATAACAATAATAATAAGGTATCAATAATATTAAGAATAATTATAATACAATATAAATTGTATGTACATATCATAGATATTAATAAATATAATAACATAAAATGTAACACAATAATAACACAATAATAAATAAATATAATATATTGATACATATAAAAATATAGATAAATTATTATTTTATTAATCTCTTAATTAAAATGATATCATCAATATAAATTTTTTAATTTTTATCAGGTTATTCTTTTTGTAAATGAACTTGAATTGTAAAATATTTTATCACAAAATAATTTTGATTGACAAAGCATGCTGATAAAATACTTAAAGCTTTATAAAGTTTCTTGTATTTTTTTAAATCTTCAAAGTTTTGAGGTAGACAGCATTCACATAAGAATTTATTTTTTAGTTTTTTCATTTTCTAAAACTCAAGATTTAAAAAAAATAAGTAAAATAAATTAATACAATATAAACCTAAGCTTCCTTTATAAATATAAAATTGTCTTTAAAGTATAAATATGAAAATTACCTTCTATTCCTAAGTCTTTTGCATACTCATCTCCATACCAAACAAGAAACTCCTTTCCTTTTTCAACCTGTTTATAAATTCGATAATAAATTTCACCTTGACAATGAAAAGCTTCAAGATTTTGCTCTGCCTCATATCGTGAACAATTTATATATCTCATCCAATTAGCATACCGTTCATCTTTCCCATCTATGTAATACACGTCAACTCCGTCTTTCATTACCTAAAAATGTATAATAAAATAAAAACAACTAAAATAAAAATAAACTAATATAAAATAAAACTAAATAATATAAAATAAAAATAAACTAATATAAAATAAAATAAAAAAAAAAGTAAAAAAGTAAAAACAATATCTAATTGGTAATTTTGAGTTTGATCATGACCATGTCAGCGGTAGTATTGTGCTCAACATGTTTCTGCGCGCAGCGAGCTTGTTAGCCAAGGTTTGTGTTTCAGAGTTATATAGTTGAGAGAGGGTTATAACCACAACTTAAAGTAACCTCCTCGACTGAGTGGTCTTCATGGCCTTGGAGAGGTGACAAAAAAATAAAAAATTAAAATTATTTCAAGTTAATTAATTTAAAATCAAATTGATAATTTATTTAAATTAATTTAAATATCTAATTTAAATTAAAGAAACTATGATTTAAAAGCTAATTGGTAATTCACAATTTATTTTAAGACTAATTGATAATGTCTTGTATATAGTATTTATATGGTAGTGGTATAGTATTAGAGTGCTTGCTTCAAAAGAAAAGGATTTTAAGTAATATGATACAAGAGTTGTTACAATTAAGTGTTAAAAAGTGTCAAAAAAAAAAGGATTTTAAGTATTCTAATAAATGGGCTCAACATTCAAACAACACCACAAAAAACAAGACATCGTTTTATCATGCCTTGTTTCTCTGAGACAGCATTTTTGTGAAGGTACATGTTTTTCAGTCAAAACTTTGATAGGAGGTTGCAATAAGATAAAAAAAGGAAGCTTTTTCTTTAAACAAATGTGACATAAGGGTACATTTTAAACAAATGTGACATAAGGGTACATTATAAAAATCGTTTTGAATAAAAAAATACAGCATACTTATAATCATAAAATTAAATTTTGAAATTCTTTTTTATGTTTTTTAATTTGAAAATGTTTTAGTAGTACAACTGACACTTTCAGTTTTTATTGTTTTAAGGTAAAAAATTACCAGTTTTTTGTGAATGCATTGTAACAACTGAGTTAATTCTAAAGGTGTGTAATACTCCAGTTGTAAAATTAATACCAGTTTTGTCATAAATGTCATAAAGTTCATTTTTATAAAACATTCACACTATGCATTCTCAGAAAATATGCATTATGCATGTGATAAAATAATGTGGTTATTTTTTTAAATTCGTAGCAGATATTTTATCTATTTGATTACACTATGTAACACAATTTTTGTTCCTGGCTTTTAAGTGTTATAATTTAATTGCTTATGTCTAAAGTATGTTAAAAAATGACTAAAACTTTGCTTACACAACAACAGCATGAAGAAAACTAGTTTTTTTGTGAAAATAGAACAATTTTTTTTTTCATTTTTCGTCATTATGATCAGGTAAAAACAAAAATTGCACAAGGACTAGATATACACTATCGGAAACCACTAAACAAGGTTCAGAAATATTTAGATTTTCTAGATTTACGATTGTAGTGTGAATCACTCTCTCAAAGTAGCCCCAAATGAAGTACCCATCATGTTTTTGTTATACTGTCCTTGATAATAACATTTAAAGTCCAATATATCTTGATGAAAGGGCTTGCCTTGCTCTTTGGAGTAAGAACGAATGGTCTCCTTGAATTTATTGAGCTGCAAATCAAGAATATAGATTTTCAGATACATTCTGCATCCATTTTAGCAGAATTTTATATGACTGTCTGCACTAACTCCACATAGTTTTCAGCTTTGTGATTACCTAGGAAGCCCTGAACAACTGCAACGAAACAGCTCTAAGCTGCTGTCTCCGTCCTGTTCAACAGCTCTGCAAAATCCTCACATTCTATGATCTTCGATAAATATACCAGCCCTGACCTTAGCCTCAGACAGCTTTGGAAGAAGATCTTGAGAGTATTGAAATGCTGCTGACTCCTTGTCAAGAGCAAATTGCTTAATGAAGCCTAATTTGATGTGCAGCAGTGGCATAAGCACTTTATGAGGTTCTATCAGTGACTCCTACTTTACATTGCTCTTCCCAACAGAAAACTTGGTTCGTTGTGGCCAGTCCTTTGTGCAATAACGTGCCTTAGTGTCACTAAGGCGCGTTAATTTGTAACTCTACAAAATTTTCATTTATTAAGGCATTGCCAGTAAACTTTATGATTATGAAAAGTTGACCATGGTACTGCCGCTGACAATGTGGAGATCAAATTCAGAATTTTTTGTTTGCATTTACTAATATTTATTCAGAAAAAACTTTTTTTTGATGGATAAAGGTTTCAAGAACATTAAGCAAAAAAGATTAAGAGGAAAGTGCTTTTGATATGAATAGTTAGAAAATGAGAGCCCACCATGAATTAAAACTTAGTAGTTGTTAACTTATTGGTAAAAATGAGTTGATTAAATTTCTGGGATAGTTTATAATCACCAAATTAAATATCTTGTTATGTTACTATATGTTTATATTTGATAAAAAATCACATTTACTTACACGCCACATGTAGCTTGTATCAATATCGTCTTTTGGAACATCTAAAGGAACTTTAATTCCTTGATATGGTCCAAATATTATATCAACATCAAATTTTTGAGTAGCAAATACTCCAAGACCAGCATTTGGTATAAGACTTTTTTTAATTTCCATGCCTTCTGGAGGAGTAAGAATTAAAGTCTTTTCAACATGATTTTCAAATTCAGCTTAAAATTGAAGAAATATATATCATATAAGTTTAGTTAAATGACAACAACAAATACGTTCTAATTTTAATAGTAAACTTGTAATTAAAGTAAACAGCAAATTAAGAAAAAAAAACTACACTGAAAGGGTTACATAAATGCTCTTCTTCTTTGTCTTTATCATTAGCATGAACTACTTCTTTACAGTTTTTTGTTTTGTCTCTTATTTTAATCTTTGCTTCTTTTGTATTTGTACTTTTGACATTTTCAGGAATCTTTTTGTGGTTTGTTTCTTTACCTCTTTTTGGATACTCTTTACTTCGTAGTTCTTAAAACAAGAATAAATCAAATAATAATATATTTCACTATGGCTATAGAACTGTTGATTGATTTTTAAATAAAATAGTTTTGGGTGTTTTTACTATTTCCACTTAAAAGAAGATAATAACGGTAAACAAAATAAACAACACTTTTATTACTAAATAACAGATATAAATTTAAAATAAAACAACATGGTATTTACCATTCTTGTTTTCATTCATATTTTGTGCACAAAAAGGTACAAAAAAAGTTGAACTGATAAAATAAAACTGTCTATGCATGTTTTTGTGCAATTAGCCAGCCATTAAATGCTGTAAAAAAATTTGCAGCAGAGGTAAGAAAAGTTGCTAAAACATTTTTCAAAATTCAGGATTTTAAACAGGACACAAACTTACAAAGATTTACGAGAGAAGACAAAACTGTGTACAAGTTGAACAAATTAGACATGGTCTTTCAGTTATATATATATTTGTATGAATACATATATATATTTGTATGAATATATATATATATATATATATATATATATATATATATATATATATTTGTATGAATATTTATATATATATTTGTATGAATACATATATATATTTGTATGAATATATATATATATATATATATATATATATATATATATATATATATATTTGTATGAATATTTATATATATATTTGTATGAATATATATATATACATATATATATATATACATATATATATATATATATATATATATATACATATATATATATATATACATATATATATATATATATATATATATATATATATATATATATATATATATATATATATATATATATATATATATATATATATATATATATATATATATATATATATATGTATGAATATATATATATATATTTGTATGAATATATACATATATATTTGTATGAATATATACATATATATTTGTATGAATATATATATATATATATATATATATATATATATATATATATATATATATATATATATATATATATATATATATATATATATATATATATATATATATATATATATATATATATATATATATATATATAGTAAGAACTTGTTCATTAAAAATAATTAAAAATGGAAATTTTAAAAAACTCTTCCTGAGTGATTTTTTATTACATTTATAAAAGTTTTTATTACATTTATAAAAGTCATATTGAAAACAAATTTTTGGAAAAACCAAGAGCAACTTAAAAAATTATTTTAGTATTATAACTTTATTAACACTTATTTGAGTCATTTAAATAAAATAATCTTTGGTTTGTCAAAGTTTTTACTAATACTTCTTACGTTTATGCGTATTGCCTTATTTTTATTAGGTTGAATTTTTAAAATGCTGCAAAGTATTTACATTTAAATCTTTAAAAATATTTTTGTTGTAGAAATATTTTTGTTTGCTGTCACAGTTTAGAAGGGAGAGGGGTTTTAGTTTAGAAGGGAGAGGGGTTTCGTTCCCTTCTAAACCTTCAGTTTAGAAGGAAGAGGGGTTTTAGGTATATGTCTTATAAACCTTGTTAAACCTACACAATGAAAAAAAAGAATTACTTAATGAAGTAATTCATTTTGTTGACGAAAAAGCGCCAGAACTTTAGTAAATTCATGTTGTTTTAATTTACATTACACATATTTAAAATAAAAATGTGCTTTAACTAAGCATCTTTATTTTAAAATTTAAATGTAAAAACGTATCATTTAATATTCTTTCGCATATATTATTATAAAACTAAGGTTTTTTAACTAAATTTTAGAAAAAACAAAAACTTAATCATGTTTTTGTTAATTTAAGTTACATGAAATTGCAGAAGTTCTTTTGCTATTTTCTTTATATATATATTTCATAAAGTATAAAATTTGACTAACAACAATTTGAACATGTTAGTTCCATTTTCACACTAAATTAATTTGGATTATGCAAATTAATTCATGGTTAAAATAACATTTTACAAAGATACTTTTTTTATCATGCAAGAATGAGAAAAACTGCAACTTTTAGTAGCATAAAAATGACTTAAATAAATTTATTTTAGCATTAACGGTGTCTTTTAAAATAACTTTCATGCGTCTCCACCAATATTCATTTCCTAAAAGTTGACAAAAAAGAGAATAAAATTTGACTACTTTTTTATTTTCTGCCGTGGAATTACCCATATATATATATATATATATATATATATATATATATATATATATATATATATATATATATATATATATATATATATATATATATATATATATATATATATATAGTAAATATATATATATATATATATATATATATATATATATATATATATATATATATATATATATATATATATATATATATATATATATATATGGTATTCTATAACTCCGAAACAAGAACCTTGACAAACAAAGCTGCTGCGCGGAGAAACAAGTTGAATTAATGCGCGTTTTTACGGTCCATTAGTAACGTTTTTCATAATGCTAAACTTTTAATACGATAAGTTTTTATAAAGTTGTTTGTCACGATTTTATAAGTTTTATTTAGTTTTAATATTATTTGAACATCCACTTTATTCTTCTAGATATTTTTATACTTCAATTAAAATTTGGGAATACTAATTATGCTTGAACAAAGAATGAATTTTAAAAATTATAAGTGCGTTATAAAAGTAATAACACCATTATAGTGTTATTACTTTTGCAATGCAGTTAGTGACTAGAGTGTTATTACTTTTGTAATCGTAAGTTTATTGTTTTATTTTTTATTTTTTCGCTAATAAATTTAAGTTGATTCTCCCCTTGAAAACAAGGAACACAGTTTTGTATAAACTAAAATTTTGAATACTAGATATTTTTCCAGATTTTGCGTTTTGCATTCGCTAAATTCAACCCTTGTTGTTTCATTGAAATTATTCAAATAAATTTTACAAACACATTGCAATTAGTATTTTTGCTATCCTCTTAAAAAAAAATTAAGAAAAGGAAAATCATTCTTTTTATTGTAGACTTCAAACTGTTTTTTTTTTTGCTTCGCCTTATCGAATTTTGTTGCTGAATGTAACTCTAAAGAAACAAAAATAGTACAGTACACAAATTATTTAAATTATTAATTTGTTGTCATTTTTTTCTATTTCAATCTCTTTTTATTTTGTTAGTTTTGTTTTTTTGCTTTTGAAACTTTTTCAGCATTATTATAAAACTTGCAAACGGCCGTGTTCACGTTTTCTAAAATATTATAATCCTGTGTGGTCATACGAGACGTAAATCCGCACGCCTTTCCTGGGAAGGCTTGATATATATATATATATATATATATATATATATATATATATATATATATACCCTTATAGTGTAGTCGAAAGAGCGTTTTAATGTAAAAAAAGTCTCTTACGACTACAATTTTAATTACCTCGTCTCTTAAGCTGTTTTTGATTGTCATCGAAATGTCAAAGCAATTAATTTATGCGGAAGTACATTAAATTTAATTGTTTTTTAAAAATTTTTTAAAAAACCGCAATTATAACGACTAGAAAGTTTTTTTTAATAAGTGGTGTTTTTGTTATTGATTTAATAAAAAACATTTTTAAAACATGCGTAAATGTTGCTACATCGACTATCTTTTAGCCTGACTTGCAACGGAGTGCTGCTACATCGACTGACAAATAGCCTGACTTGCAACGGAGTGCTGCTACATCGACTGACAAATAGCCTGACTCGCAAGGGAATGCTGCTACATCGACTGACAAATAGCCTGACTCGCAAGAGAGTGCTGCTACATCGACTGAGGGTCTGGTTTGGCCAGGCAGTCTATCAATAAAAAAAAAAAATTTAATTTTTAAATTTTAAAAACTTTTTCTGCTCTGGTTTATTAACGCGCTCTTTAAAACTACAGTTTATGGGAAACTTTTTTTGATGCTACGCAAGAGACATGCAAGAGTATATATATATATATATATATATATATATATATATATATATATATATATATATATATATATATATATATATATATATATATATATATATATATATATATATATATATATATATATATTAGGGGGAGTAAAAAAAAGTAAATTTTCAAAACAAAATAACCATACCCCCTAAATTTGGGGCAAATATCTTGAAAATAAGCCCCAAAAAACAACTTTTTTGAAAATAATCTGCTCTCACCCCCTAAATGTGTTCTTTCTAATACAAAAACACTAAGCTTAAATTTTTTTTGAATAAAAAATAATTTAAAGGGTCCCTCAAGACTCTCAAATATTTAATGGGTCCCTAATATTTTCAAAAAAAAAGTTTTTAAAAATTATGTTAACCTGGTACTCAAATGAAGTGAAATTATATAAAAACTTTAAAAATAATGTTCATTTCAAAAAAAAGGATACATAACGATGTTTCCCTTAAAATAAACAATATTTGCCACAAAAATAAAACAAGTTTCTGTACAATCGGCGCTGTTGAAAACCGTTTAGAATAGCCCCTGTATATATATATATATATATATATATATATATATATATATATATATATATATATATATATATATATATATATATATATATATATATATATATATATATATATATATATATATATACATATATATATACATATATATATATATATATATATATATATATATATATATATATATATATATATATATATATATATATATATATATATATATATATATATATATATATATATATATATATATATATATATATATATATATATATATATATATATATATATACTCTTGCATGTCTCTTGCGTAGCATCAAAAAAAGTTTCCCATAAACTGTAGTTTTAAAGAGCGCGTTAATAAACCAGAGCAGAAAAAGTTTTTAAAATTTAAAAATTAAATTTTTTTTTTTTATTGATAGACTGCCTGGCCAAACCAGACCCTCAGTCGATGTAGCAGCATTCCCTTGCGAGTCAGGCTATTTGTCAGTCGATGTAGCAGCACTCCGTTGCGAGTCAGGCTATTTGTCAGTCGATGTAG